GCAGCCGGAGTGGTGGCTGCAGGGCCGCAGTCAGCGGTGGTCAGGAGGGTGGGGGAGGAGCTGGCTGGTGAAGCCGCTCCATCGGCCAGAGGAACAAAGAGCTGGCCTTGGGGACAATGACCCCAACGCGAAGCAGAGTTAACTCCAGAATTTGTGGCCGCTGACCCCGAGGGTACACCCTGCCCCAGGCTACCAGCGAGGAAAGGCTGGCCTGCCAACCTGCGACCTTCTCACCCCATCGTCCCCCTGAATCCTGCCCTCCATCCATGCCCACATTTCAGAAGTGCAGACCCCTCCATCTGGCTGCTGGGCCCTGAGACAGCTGACCACTGTGCCCGCAGCCCTTCCCTCCCGCGTCCTCAACTATCACACCTGTGCCCACGGCCTCCGCCTTCCATGTGCATGGCCCTCACCTCCTGAGTCCCCAGCTCTCCATTTTCGACACGAAGGACCATAGCCACCCACCGGCTTCCGAGAGAAGAGGGCCGCCTGGAGCACACGCCAGCACTGAGTCGAATTCAGGGATGAAGAGCAGGCACTCGCGGGTGAGCGCTGGGCCCACTGAGGGCCACACTGAAATTGTCCTTGCAGGACCCAGCATCAGCGATGGCAAGAGAGACAATACACAAAGAAGGACACAACCAACAAAGTCGAAGGGGGCCAAGAGGGGTGCACAGACGGAAGGGACCACGCCTGACCCAGGCGCCACCTCCCAGCACCCCCGCGCGGTCACCCGCTGGGAAGGCCTTGGAATGCCATCCTTTTGGGGTTCTAGGGGGGCTCGGCACGCAGTGAGGTCGAGTGAACCATTGGCTATTGCTGATTAAACTCAACCTCCAGCCCCTCCCCCCTCCCCGGAGGCCAGGGGGGGAGCTGGTTCCATGCTTGGTTCCCAGGCCACCAGCTCCCATCCTGGGCTGTCCAGGAGCCCCAGTCACCAGTCGTCCTAGTAACATACAAAGGACACTTATGGCATCAGAGATTCCAAGGGTTTTAGGAGCAGAGACAAAATATAGATTTCTTATCATGTCACGACCAAGTCTTCATATTTTATGGCCATATCTAAAGTTAAGCTGCGTCTCTAAAAGATGATGCAAAGCTTTTACTATTCCCGTAAACTTTTAAAAACTACACTTAGCAGGATCTTTCACGAAATGATCTTTGAGAAATAGTTGTTTGCATTTCAAAAACTCCTTTAGTTTCCTTGTCTCATCTTAAATCCAAGAAAATGGAAATTTAACTTTTCTCGAGAACAGGCTCGGCAGCTCGGTCGCGTGCGCGTGGCCGTGGGCAGAGCTCGGTCGCGGGCGCGGGCCCGGGCGGAGCT